GCTTCTGGAGATACTGGGATTACAGGTGTGCCAAAATGCACCCGGCTCATTCTTTCATTTTAAAATCTAGTTGTGCTATAGTTTTAAAGGGATTTATTTATTTTTTTATCTTTTTGCAGGCAATGTGTAATGGACTCTACTTTAAAAAATATCACCTGAAAATCTCTTAATTAGGGTGATTAAATAACATCTGTCTAGAGTTTTTCTTTTTAACTTTTGTATTTTGCAGTCCAGAAGACGGATCCCAGGACCTCACACAAGCTGGACAGTGCTACAACCCCAGCCCTCTGTGGCTAGGCTGAAATATGCCATCTTTTGTTTGTTCTCTGTCTCCTGTGTTCCACTGTAATTCATTTTCTGACTGTCTTTGGATTGTTTTTTTTTTTAATATTCCTTTTATCTTATTTGTTAAATTTCTTAGCTATTATTCTTTGTTGTGTTTTTTTGTTTGTTTGTTTTAAGATTTCTGGCGTACATTTTCAACTCTTCACTATTTACCATCAAGGGATACGATGCCACTTCACTTAGAACTTATAAGAGCACATACCTACTTCTCTTTTTCTAGTCTTTGTGTTATTTTGTCACACATTTTACTTCCACATATGTTATAAGCTCCAAAATGCAATGTTTTTTTTGAATAGCTATGTTTCAAATAAGTTAAATTAATAAAAAATTCTTTATATTTATTATTACCACCTCTGAGGCTCTCTTTAAATTATTATTTTTCTTTCTGAGATGGGAAAGGCACATCACTGTATTGAAGTTGCTCAGGCTGGCCTTGCTCTCCTGGGTGCAAGTGATCCTCCTGCCTTGGCCTCCCTAGTAGCTGGGGCTACAGGTGTGCACCCCTGCATCAGATTCTGGTATATTATTACTTTGTATAGATCCAGATTTCCATCTGGTAATATTTTACTTCTGCTTGAAGGATTTCTTTTAACCTTTCTTAGAGTGCAGGTCTGTCAATCATGAATTATCCCAGCTCTTGTATGTCTGATCAAGTCTTTAACTTCATTTCTAACATCGTGGTGAGATACACGTCCCATGTATCATCTTGACCACATTTTAGTGGCCAGTGGTGTCAGTGCAATCCTGTGACTTTGCACCCATCACTATCATTCACCCCTGGAACTCTTTCATCTAGCAAAACTGAAAAGAAAACGTAGAATACTTCAGAAATTTGAATGCCATCTGTGCACTGATTTGTACTCCTTAGGGGAAAATTTAACTTCACTTTTCCATCTTTTTATTTTTTGTTGATGGTGAGGGAATGGGAATTGAACTTGAGGGTGCTCTAACACTGAGCAACATTCTCAGCCCTTTTAAAAAGTTTTATTTTGAGACAGGACCTCACTAAGTTGCCAAGGCTGGCCTTGAAGTTGTGACCCTTCTGCCTCACCCTCCTGTGTCACTGGGATTACAGGTGTGTGTGCCTGTGTCCAGCTCAATATGGATTTTTTTTTTTGTATTCTCCTTGCACCTACCTCATCTGTTCAGTCCTCCCTCGAGCTTCTTGAACATACAGAATAACTCATGGTCACTCTAATGTCCTTGTAGACTAGTTCTATCATTTGTCTTTTCTCACTAGGTTTCAAACGATCTTTCTCATTTGAAATCATATTCTTGTGCCATTTTCATGCCTGATAATTTTTTTAATGGCTGCTAGACATTGTGGATTGGACTTCATTGGGTATCGAGTATTTTGCCTTTCTATAAATAGGTTTGAGCTCGCTTTGGGACATGGTTAAATTACACGGGAGACGGTTTATTTTTCTGTCTCACATGAAAGTGTTGCGAGGCAGAAGCACAGTGTCATTTAGATTATCTCTGATGGTTCTCCTTTTACTGAGGCAGAGTGCTTCTCTGTGTTCTAACAGGTGGTCCATGAATTATGAGGTTTCTCATTCAGGTTGGTGGCAACAGGTACCATTCTTGGCCTGAATGAGGTCCTCAAACATTTTGCCCCTCGCTTTGGGCAGTTTCCTCATGAGAACATCCTTTTCAGTCTTTTGCTGAGTTCTCAAGGGGACCTTTCACAGGTCTCTGGCGTCCTTTCTCTGTGCAGCTAGTTGCTTTTTGGAGCTCCAGTCACCCTTTGGCCTCTGAGAACTTCTAGATCCTTCAAGGACAGCTCCAGGTTCTACCTGAGGTCACCCTTCCTGTGTGGTGGCCTTTAAGCTTTCTCAGGCAGTACCCTGGGGACAGTCTCAGTGTTCATCCTATGAATTTCCCTTCTAATGGGATCACTGTCTGTTACCTATGTCCAATGTCATGTCTATGATTTTTTCCAACAGTTTGCCCAGACTTTAGTGGGAGAGTGAATCCGGCTTCTGTTGCTGCTTTGGCAGAGATCACCCCTAAGCATTTTGTTATTGTAAATGTTCTCACCTTTTCCCTGGCATCTTCGAATTGGATTTTGTTGGTATATATATAAAGGTTATTGATTTTATAACTTGCTACATTGCTGGATTATCTTGTTTGTAATAGCTTAGTGTTGATTCAATTCAGTTTTGCAGATACCACATCATCTGTAAAGAGACTTTGCTCTCTTTCTTTATCATTATTATGCTATTGGTTGCTTTCTCTTTCTAAAGACATTGGCCTATAGTTCAACACAGCGTTAAACAATTTTAGAAATGGTGGGCATGACTTTGAAGACTATTTGAATGCTCTAGCGGGATGCATACTTATTTATAGAAAGGCAAAATACTCAATACCCAATGAAGTCAAATCCTCTTTGAATCTTCCTGTTCTGGAAGGGCCCAGGGGCCATCCTTGTGCCTCTTGAATGGTGGGCAGCTTGGCGTCTCCAATTTTCTGTTCCTAGTTCTCTTTGTTACTTCGGCTTTGTTTAACCCCCATTTTCAGAAGGTGTAAAGGATGCATAAACTGCAATCCTTTGTGATCTTGCAAACTCTGTAAATTGGCTGGGTGTAAATTTGAGGTTGGAAATGCTTTTCCCTGAGATTTTGGAAGGCACAGGCAGTAGCCCTTGTCTTCGGGTACCCAACGCTGCCCTTAGTCATCTCCTCCTGATCTCATCCACGACACTTTCTTACAAAGTGGATTTTAATTTCCAATTCCTGAAAATGATAAGACCTTTTCTTAGGCCTTGAATGCTATCTATATTCTCTTTGTTTTATCCATGGCCTTAAGGTTCTGAGAACCTAAAGATTAAAAAAGTTCTGTTGGAATATATATTTGTATGATTCCTTTAAATTATTCCACTCATTTAAAAAAATATTATAATTATCAATTTACCAACATAAACAAGGCCGAGTGAGCTAAGTGCTCTGCTTCCCGGCCTTTGTGGATACTGTTTTGAGCCTCACGAGCTTTATCTTCAGCCATGATTGAATTAGCCAGGACCAAATTCAAGAATTCAAGAATTTAAGAAATATAGGGATATATAATCTACATCAAAATATGCAATCCTTACTGAACAGACACTTCTCAGAGAGGATATATAATCAATCAACTAATATATGAAAAAATGTTCAACATGCCTAACAATTAGAGAAATGCAAATCAAAACCACTCTAATATTTCATCTCACTGCAGTCAGAATGGCAGCTATTAAGAATACAAATAACAATAAATGTTGGTGAGGATATGGGGGAAAAATGCACACTCATACATTGCTGGTGGGACTACAAATTGGAAAGCAGTATGGAGATTCATTGGAAAACTTGGAATGGAACCACCATTTGACCCATCTATCCCACTCCTCAGTCTCTACCCAAAGGACTTAAAAACAGCATACTACAGGGACACAGGCATATTAATGTTTATAGCAGCACAATTCACAGTAGCTAAACTGTGGAAGTAATCTAGATGCCCTTCAAAAGATGAATGGATAAGAAAATGTGGTTTATATACACAATGGAATATCACTCAGCAATAGAAGAGAATAAAATCATGGCATTTGCAGGTAAATGGATGGCGTTGGGGAAGATAATGCTAAGTGAAGTTAGCCAAACCCAAAAAAACCAAATGCCAAATGTTTTCTCTGATGTAGGGATGCTGACTCATAATGGGAGTGGGTGGGTGAGCATGGGAGGAATAGACAAACTCTAGAGAGGGCAAAGGGGAGGGAGGTAAAGGGAGGGGAAATGGGGGTAGGAAATATGGTGGAAAGAGATGGACATCATTACTCTAAATGCATGTATGAAGACATGAATGGTGTAACTCTATGTTGGGTACAACCAGAGATATGAAAAATTGTGCTCTCTATATGTAATATGAATTGAAATACATTCTGCTGTCATATATAACAAATTAGAATAAATTTTAAAAAATGAATATGATGCAACTGTTATCTCCCGTCATCTGAGGGGTATTACTTCTCATAACATCATTTAACAAATAGGGAAAAAGATGTTAAGTTTTACACTGTCAAGTATGTAGCAGGCACTCCAAAATATTTCTGAATGTTGTTAAAAGAAAAGTCAACATGTTTTCTTTGTTTTGTTGTTTTTTTGAAAAATACTTGAATGTGAAAAAAGTGCAATCCTTATAATTTTCAATCTCAGTAATTATATCATTTATATCATACGGGAATCTATGGTTTGATGCTTTTAAGATGATGTTCTAAAGTTTAATTAGTTGTAATATCCCTAATACTAATCATATGTACTAATTAATGTGCAGCAGGAACTCTTCTGAGTGTTTTATATTCATAAATCCATTGACATTTATAATCCTTACAACAAATCTTCGAGATGGATACTATTATTATCCCTATCCTACCTATCCTACAGATGAGGCATAGAGAATTGAAGAATCTCATTTCAGTTTGTAAATGGCAGAGCTAAAAGTGGAACCCGGCTGGGTTACCTGGCCCTGGAGCCTGTACTTTAGTGCAACCTATTCATGAGCCTTTAGGAGTGGCAAGATTCAGAAGGTCAAGACTACTGATTATATTTCAGCTCCGTCACCGGGACCCTCCACTGTCCTTCTCATCTGTCCCCAGCCTTGATACAAGAGCTAACAAAGGGGGCTGAGCTCCCGGGGCTTGTGACTTTTCTAGGAACAACTTATCTAGAGCTCTAGGGATCTGGACTTACTACGCACAAGTATCAGGGTGCCTGGTCCAGACTTAACTTCCATGTTGCCATCGCTTATTGTCCTGAGCATCAAGCAGTAGTAGGTGCCAGCGTCTGCGAGGGTGAGGTTGCTGATGCGGATGGAAAAGTCCGTGTTGTTTGTCTTTGTGACGTCTGACATACTTGTTATCCGAGAGAAGTGACCTTTTTTGAAACTGTAGATCAACTGCCGGTCCCGTTTAGTGCCCTTGAACCACTTAATGGACCCCACAGGGAGCAGGGAGGTCACAATGCACCGCAGAGAGGCTGACTGTCCTGCTGCTACAGACACCGACTTCACAGGTTGAATCACCTGTGGCTCCTCCTCACCTGCCACTCCTACAAGGAAACACAACTCGGTCACTCTTATTTATTTATTTATTTTTTTGTGGGGTTGGGGATTAGAACCCAGGACCTTGTGCATGCCCGAGTCAGCTGTGGGAAGAAGGGAAGGGACAGGCAGAAGAAAGGCTCATATCAATAATGTTGTTGCAAGATGCTGGGATTCTGGGAGACATGGTCTAAAAAGCACCATTTACCAATTTTTTTCTAACAGTCCACATTCCATGTATAGTTCTGGTGATTCTCCCTCTCTCTCCATCCACCTGCCCCCTGCAAGCCCTGGGTGCCATGGTCTTCAGCAGCACCAAGAAGTCAGCTGCCACCCCTCTCCCTCCTCCCTTGGAAGGGCACCGGGTCCTGCCCATCAAGCACATGGGGGTCATGAAGCCTTTAGAGGGGTCAGGAGTGCAGGAGAGGAGGGGCTGGGAACCCCTGCCATTGAGGGAGGCCTGGGCGGGACGGTTGCTGTTTCTGGGTGGGAAAGGAAAGGACTCCTCCAATCAATGAGGATCTGGCAGGGTTGGTGGAGGGTGGTGTCTCAAAGAGAAAGGGGCAGCAGGGAAAGAGGCCCTGGAACAGAGATCCATCTGCTCCGTGGCCAGTGCTCACCTGAGAGTCCCAGCAGCAGAGGTAGCAGCAGGGGCACCAGAGGCAGGCGGGGCTGCGAGGCAGGGGTGGGCATCATCTGCTCCTAGAGCCTCCTGTCCGAGGAGGTTCCAGACTCCTTGCTCCTTGGAAAGAGGTGGTATCTGTCTTTGGTGAAATAAGAGGAAGTACCAGAGGGAAGGGCTGTGGGATCCTGGCACTTCCTGCTGGTGGACTGTGAAATGGGAACTAGGCACGAGCTCAGAAGTGACTGATGTCAGAGTCCCCAGGCGCTTGCAGAGGCTCCAGGGGACCCCTCTAGCACCCAGGCTCTGTGCCTGGACCCCTCAATTTCTACGAGAGGGGCACCCATGGCCATTCCTCATGAGGGACCCTGGAGGCAGTCTGGCCTGGTGGAGGGCGTGTGTGGTCTGTGTGACGGCTACCCCTGGGCACAGGTGAGCTGCAGAGGAAGGCTCCTGGGCATGGGGCCCCCAGAAGCTAGGTCCTCCTTCTCTCCTCCCCAGAGGTGCCAGGGTAAAAGAGCTCGTGTCTGACGGGGGCTGTGTTTGGGCAGAGTCTCCTTTTAGAGGAAGTGGCTTTGGGTGAGGTGTATGGAATTAGACCTTGGGAGTAGGAGGGAGGTTTCTGTTCTAGAAGAGTCGGGGTGGCGCCTGAGCCTGGGCCTGCTCATGCTGCAGGAGAGCTCATGCCCAGAATCCGCTGCGGGTGGCGAGGAGGGTGCCTTTCGTGGCCATCTAGGTCTGAAGCCAGCTCTGGGGAGAAGGAGTGGAGGGGCCAGAAAACATCATCCCAAGAACAGACTGCCTCTTTCAATGTACTTTTGAGCAGCAGCAGGCATACAACAGTGTGCCCCGAGCCGCAGCCTAGTGCCAGACGTAGCCTCCGTGACTCAGTTTCCCCACTGCTCCCAAGCCCCACCTCCTTCGCAGTGGCTGACCCTAGGCTGGGATGGGAAGGGGCAGGACCACCGGGCCGGAGGGAGGATCTGATTGCTCTTCGGCAGACACTGGTGTTTTCATGGTGGGCAGGTCATCTCCATGCCTGGCGTCCTACTTGGCATCTACAAAACAAACTCACCTGCCATGTCCCTCTCACGCCTTCCTGGGTCCTTCCTGTGTCCCTATCTCAGCGTGTGACACCTGCTGCACCTCCCTCTCCACCGTCACCCCTGGCACGGAAAGCCTCATCCACTTTCCCTGGGTCAGCCATCTGCTTACCCTGGGGTGGTCCTGTTAAAGGAGAAGTGTGATCACGTCACACTTTCAGTGGCTTCATGTCACTCTCTTTGGGTGGCTTCGCATTACTCTGAAACTGTTCTCAGCCCTCTGTTTCCTGCAGAATGAAGGCTGAGACTCCATCACCAGAAGCAACCTGTGGCCTAGGAGAAGAGTCACAAGAGCAAGGGAGGCAAGAAGAGTTGTCAGAGGTCACACAGGAACCCCTCCTCCAGGGCCTTCACTTTCCATCCGAGTCACTGAGGCCCATCGTGGTGACAACTATTCCTGCTGCAGAGCGCACCCTCCCTGGTGCAGAAGCCTGAGGCAGGAGCCCAGGAAAACATTCACCTCACCCTCCTCCACCATTATTACCTTGTACACCTTGATTGCTCCCAGCACAGTCACATGACATGGTTTATTATCTCCATGTTGGTTAGGAAACTGAGGCTCAGAGATTGTAGGGTCACAAGGTGGTGAGACTGGAACCCACATGTGCATTCCTGCTGTCCCTCTAGATACAGGACAGGAGACCCAGACACCCAGACACTGGACACCTGGAGCTTGGAAACCAGGAGAACAACATCAGGGCATAGGAGCATGTCTACCCTGGTAGTAAGTGGCATCCAGACATGCGCCTGTTGGGAGAGCTCAAGGCTGACTTGCTCCGCACCAGGACCTGGGTTCATGCAGGAAATGAGGAAACTTTAGAAACCTCTGGACAAGAAATCATTAAGAGCATTCAAGGAAACATGGACTCACTGGTCTGGTAGGAGTCTCAAACATTCTCTAGTCCTCCTCATTGCCAGTACCCCAAATCGACTTTGTGGGTGCATGAAGCCTTAAAAGTATATATAGCAGATCATAAATAGGAGCTCTCTCCGCAGAGTTGAATTGGGTGTAATTTATTTTTATTTTTTAAAAAAAATTTAGTTGTCAATAAAACTTTTATTTATTTATTTATTTATTTATATGGAGCACTGAGAATCGAAGCCAGTGCCTCACACATGCCAGGCAAATGCTGTACTACTGAGCCACAACCCCAGCTCTTGAATTTTAATATTTAGTTTTTAATAGATAATTACACAATTTTGGATTGTGTGTGTGTGTGTGTGTGTGTGTGTGTATGCTTGTGTGTGAGTGAAAAGAGCAAGCAAATGAATGAAAGAGCAAAAGTGAGAGTGTTGTGTATGCATGAGAGAGAGAGAAAGAGAGAGAGAGAGAGGGAGGAAGAGGGGGGAGAGAGGGCACTGCAGGATTTGCTGTCATAATGTAAATTTCATGTTGGCGAAGAAAGTCTTAAAGAAAGATGATGTAGGCTCTTTAAATAAATCACAGAGGCCTTGCCATTGGCCTGGTGAGCAGAAGCCCAAAGTGTCCTTTTTGCAGAGACCTTCTGCTGCCCATCTTGTTCCACCTGGCAGGTGAGGGCAATGTCCTCCACGTGGTCAGTTTTCTTTCCTGGGATGAAGCTCTGCTTGCTGCATAGTCTGTCGCTGCCTTTGGTGGGGATTAGAGTATCATCTGTCTGGGAGACATTTCCATTCTTCTGCCAGGTCCACTGTGCATTCTGGGGCTAGAACTTCTTTGCCTCTTGTCCTTTGAGATGGGGTTTGAAAAATAGACATTGTCGGTGAAACGGAAATAGCTCAGGACAAATGCTCAGACTTCATGAAATATCAGATTCACCTTGCTCACTACTTGGTGGCCATTTACTTGCCACCTGCCTTGCCTGGTGACAGTCCCTAGCACATGCATGAGCTCATCCAACTCAGCATTTCTATGAAGAGGGTGCTGCAGGCTCGGTGTGGCCCACACTGCAGATGGCACGAGAGCTGAAGTCCTCTGGAGCCAGGATCACCTTAGGATTGTGTTGGCATAACTACTGTTCTTCAGCTGAACACCTGGTGGGATGAAGTTTCCTCTCCATTTTTGAACTACTTCAGGGTGATGTTTTTCTGGGAAAGAAGCCACAAGACAAGCAGCTGAGATCCACAGTCTGCCCAAGTAGGGCCTGGTCCCATGGGCCTATTCCCACAGCTAGAGAGGGTGAGGCCTTAAGAAGGACGATAGGTCCCCAATTAGAGTTGGTGAGCCAGCAACTGTTCAAGGCATTTTATATAATTTTAAGTCTGAAAACTACTCAGAATTAAAATTGATCATGTCAGTTATATTTATGATCATATCATTTATTGATATCTAGAAAGTGGGTATTGGAAGAGGGAAGGAATATATAAGCAGGTGCTCATATTTTCCTAGACTCAGGATGGAACACAGATTTCTCTGCTTTGTGGGTACCATAAGGCTTACAAAGACATCTTTTGATTTTTTAAAATTTTATTTCAAATTATTTTGAAATAATGGCACTTAACCTTGATTGTAAAGACAAGGAACAAGAGATGTAAATATTAGTAAAAAATTTCACTCTTCCTCCCCTTATTTTGAATTTTGATGTCCTATTTTACATATTTTATGTCACAGATCTCTTAACATACTAATGTAGATATTGTTGTTTTTGGCAGATGGCAGTTATTCAATGAATGGGAGTCATGATTATTGAGGTAATAATACACCAGGCCAAGTAGGAGACATACTCACCAATAATAGACACTTGGGTGCCCTGACCTGATTAGTACTCTGTGTCACTTAGCATCTGCAAGAAATTTCACTGATATAAATGGAAAAAGTCTGTGCTGTTGGGTTTGTTGGTGACTCCAATTGCTTTGACTAAAGGAATGTGGCCTTTCTGGAAATTGTAGGTTAATTCTGGGGTTGGAACAGATCCCTTGAATCGTGGGACAGACTCCATTTGGGATTGGAAACGGCATGTTGCAATCCACGGTGATTGTCTCTCTAGGTGACATGGTCTGTACCATCTCGGTTTGTTGCACCTCAAACACCTTGTCTGTGGTTTCTGGAAAGAAATGAAAATAATTTCTCATGGCTTGGATGCAGGTCATGTTTGGGTCTTGTACCTTCCTTCTATTAATGACATGCACGAATGCCCACACTAAGAACAGAAAAACCTAAACCCTCGGTGCTGCAGGAGGGGCATCGGTCCACTTCCTCAGTTCTGTTTCTCAGTTCCTGGCCACGTAAGAGGAAGGCACAGGAAGCGTGGGGCCATCGGGATGGGTTAGTGTTCATTGAGAGACACGAGTCGCTTTACTCATCCAGAAGTCAGAACTTACTCAAGTTTGGAGGTGGGTGCCACTGTCATTCTGCCACTTCATTCCTCCAGTGAGTTTGGAATTGACCTTCATCTGTCCTCAGAATCTGTGCAGAGATTAGTGCTTAGAGAAGTCAAGAGATAGCACAATGGAAAGATGTGGTCACTGTTCCCATGCACAGCCCCACTGCTCATCTCTTTAAGAGGGAAGAGAGGGACAGTTTGTTTTCATGAAGAATAAGAGAGCAGAGCTGGGCTAGTGGCACATGCCTGTGATTCCAGGCACCCAGCGACCTGGGAGGCTGAGGCAGGAGAATGGTGAGTTCAAAGCCAGCCTCAGCAATTTAGCAAGGCCCTCAGTAACTTAGTGAGACTCTGACTCAAAATAAAACATAGAAAGGGCTGGGGATGTGGCTCTGTGACAGAGCACCCCTGGATTCAATCCTCAGTACCAGGAAAAAAAAAAGAATAAGAGAGTAGAGCCTCAGGGGGTTCTCAAAAATTGGGAAGTACTCCACTGACCCACACACCCCATATTGTGTTGAGTGGACAAATCATCAAAATCACAGGCTAAAAGGAATTTAGGGAGAGAGGTGGCAGGAAAGAAGTCTTTGTTTCCATCAGCAAGCTTCAGGGAAATCTGTGGTGTTCTTTGATCAGTTGGATGCCACAGAATGTGCCTGGACTCAG